TGTCACTCATACATCTCACATACCAAGAGGAAGCCAAAAGTTAAAGGCTATTCTCACACAACGTGTGTAACACCTTAAGCCTAACCCACATACTCCCCTCCCAGTGATAACGATATAAAAAAAAAATAATAATAAAATTTATATATAAAAAAAAATAAAAGAGAAAAATAAAAAAATTTCTTTTTTTTGTCGAAGTACGCGTAACAATAAAATATACGTATATACATTTTAATCTCATATTTAATATTTAAAGATCACAATATTCACCTTTTAGGTAATAGTATAATACTGTTTGATTTAAAAAAAAAATTTTTAATCATTAAATGTTACTTTTTTTCTTTTAAGAATATTAGGAACGAATTTACGTTTTAAAATAGTCGTAGGAGTTTTTTTAACAATATGATACTCCACATTTTTATTTGGTTTTGGTTCGACGCAGACATTTTCCTTTTGGTTTATTAATACTTTAGAATTAGTAGGCAAATCGACTAGATTACCAGATATCGAAGGAACGGGCAAATCAATTTGTTAAAAGACTTTAACGGAACCAAAAAATCGTTTGGTTTATTCTCAATATTGACAGGGATGAAAATTGGTGATTCAACCCTCGTTATTTTAGAAAAATCGCGTGCAATGTATGCATGCGGTTATTAACCTTATAAGGCCCTGAATAAGGACATTGTAAAGGTTTCTTTAATACGCGTACAATTCTTACGAATACATGAGAACAATCTGACATGTTTTGGTGTACAAAAATTTTTCGCTTGTGATGGTGAGAGACGGGAACCAGCTTAACTTCACGCATGTGGTTTCGAAATTCGTTAACGAATGAACAAGGCTCGAGGGGAGGATCGTTCGGCAACACAAACTCGCCCGGAACACGTAAAACTTTTCCGTAAACGAATTCTGCGGGAGATGCCCCGCAGTCCGTGACCGAAGTCCTGAGTCCCAACAATACTGTTGATAAAACACGAATCCAACTCTGATCAGAGTGGTACATAATCGATGCTTTTAGGGTCCTATGCCAACGTTCCACCATGCCGTTGGATGCGGGATGGTAGGCCGTGGATCTGACCTGATAACTGTAATAATGCGGAAAATAATTTAGATTCAAACTGCGTTCCCTGATCGGTCGTTACCGTTTGTGGGGTTCCATATCTCGAGATCCAAAAATCAACAAACGCACGAGCTACAGTCAGCGCTTCGATATTCTTAATCGGAACTGCCTCCGGCCATCGCGAGAAACGATCAATCATAGTTAAACAGTACCGATAGTCGTTGTCGACAGGCAACGGACCTACGATGTCCATATGGACATGATCGAAACGCGACTCAGGTGAGACGAACTGCGCAGGTAAAAGAACATTGTGTCTAGAAATCTTCGCCCTCTGACACTCGATGCATGTTTTACAATATCGCGATATTTGCTTGTGCATTTCGGGCCAAACGTATCGTTTTCCAATTATCTGACGCAAAACGCGCGCACTCGAATGAGATAACGAATGAAATGATTTAATTATTCTTTCTCGTAGGGAATCAGGAATAAACGGACGCAAACTATCACCAGACGTATCGCAGAATAACTCGATGTTTTCGGGACCGAAAATAAACTTCTTCAGTCGAATGGACCATTCTGAATTCGAAATCGCCTTTTTTAACTCCTCGTCCGAAGCCTGAGCCCTTGCCAAATCGCACAAACCAATTTCAGAAGAGAAGGTTACCGCCTCCACACGAGATAAGGCGTCAGCGATAATATTATTTGCACCGGACAGATGTTCTATTGTCGTAGAAAATTGCGAGATAAAGGACAACTGTCGCTGTTGACGTGGTGATGATTTTTCTGATTTTTGTTTGAAAGCGAATACAAGCGGCCTGTGATCTGTGACTATCCGAAACTCGCGACCTTCGAGGAAATAGCGAAAATATTTAATTGATTCAAAAATAGAAGTTAATTCGCGGTCGAAAGTACTATAATTTTTCTGAGTAGGTGTAAATTTTCTTGAGAAGAAAGATAACGGTCTCCATGAACCCGAGATCATTTGTTCAAGTGCAGCTCCCATTCCAAAATCAGATGCATCAGTGACCAATCAGGTGATAGCATTCGATTCTGGGTGAGAGAGCAAGGTAGAATTAGCGATTTGATTTTTGATTTCCTCGAAAGCTGCGTCAGCCTCGGAATCCCATATGATTGGGGTTTTGTCGTTCTTTTTCGAACCGACGAGAAATTTATTCAACGGAGCAAGTACTCGCGCAGCGTTACAAATGCTCCGTCGATAAAAATTTGGTAAACCGACAAATCGACGCATTTCTGAAACTGTTGTGGGTTTTGGATACGAAAGAATCGCCTGAACCTTTTCCTCGGTAGGACGAATGCCCTGATGATCGATCATATGGCCAAGAAACTCCAACTGAGATTGACCAAATTCACACTTTTCAATATTTATTCGCAAACCAAAATCCCTCAAACGGGAAAGTACCTCGTTAAGATGCTGTTCGTGCTCCACAGGGCTGCTGGAAGATATGAGCAGGTCGTCAATATAAGCAAATACGTAGTCCAAACCATCGAGAGCTCAAGACACGTACCGTTGAAATGTAGCGCCTGCATTTTTCAATCCAAAAATCATCATTGGGAATTCGAACAACCCGAATGGAGTGATAATTGCCGTCTTGGCAATATCCTCCAGAGCGACGGGAATTTGATTATAAGCCATATGAAGATCAAGCTTACTAAAAACTGTTTTTCCTGCAAGATTAGCAGTAAAATCGTGCAAATAAGGAACTGGGTATCGATCCGGTTCGGTCACGGCGTTAAGTCGACGAAAGTCGCCACAAGGACGCCATTTGCCGTTCTTCTTCAAAACCATGTTGAGTGGAGCGGCCCAGGAACTGCTCGATCGCCGACATACCCCGAGTTGCATCCAAGTCTGAAATTGAGCCCTCGCCGCCGACAACTTTTCAGGAGAGAGACGACGAACGCGCTCAGCTAGGGGGGGACCGTTAGTAACAATATGGTGGTAAACGTCCTGTGTGTTAGTCGAAATTCCCTGCTCAGGTCCTGTAACCTCTGGATATTTAGATAAAATTTCAGCAAAAGGGACCTCATAACACAGGCACACAAAAAAAAAGTTTCGTGGCCGAGACACTACAGTAGTATATTCCCATGTATTTTTGGCCGCTGAATCCGAATCTGAAGTCCGAATGCTCAAATTGGTTCTTTTTTTTAAGTTATACTCAAAAAACGACTCAAAACACGAATTTGAACCAAAAAAATTAAAATTTTTTTTTGTGAGACATGACAATAGCATATTTCCATGTATTTTTTCCCGCTAAATCCGGATTCGAAGTCAGAATTGACAGATGTGCTCAAAATTTTGAGCTAAACTCAAAAAACGACTCAAAAAACCGAATTAAAATGACGAAAATGAAAATTTTTTTCTGTGACATTGCAAAAGTATATTCCTATGTATTTTTGCATGCTGAATCCGAATTCGAAGTCAAAATTGACAGATTTGCTCAAAATTTTGAGATAAACTCAAAAAACCACTCAAAAAAAGACTCAAAAAACCGAATTAAGATGAAAAAAATTTTTTTATGACACTACACTACTATATTCCCATGTACTTTTTCCCGCTGAATCCGAATTCGCAGTCAGAATTGACAGATTTGCTCAAAATTTTGAGATAAGCTCAAAGAACTGATAAAAAAAGCGATTTAAAATTAAGAAATGGAAATTTTTTGCTATGACACTACATTACAGTATATCCATATCGGATCTCGCATTTAAAGTCAGAATTGACAGATTTATGACTGATTTGCTCAAAATTTTGAGATTTACTCAAAAAACTGATAAAAATTTAATTTAATATGAATAAAGGAAATTTTTTGCTATGACACTACACTAGTGTATTCCCATGTATGTTTTCACGGTGATTCCAAAGTCAGAATTTTCAAAGTGGCTCAAAATTTTGGATTTCATTAAAAGTGCTCAAAAACATGCATGCTTGTACCTGTAACCAGGGTTTGAGTTCTAAAAAATTTTATGTCATTCTGATAATTCTAACTTCGAATTTGTATTCAGCGTATATAAATAAAATTCATGAGAATACACTACCGAATACCAAAAAAATGAACTCTTTTGCATTAAATTAAATTTTGAGCATTTTTGGATTTAACTTAAAATTTTGAGCCAATTTAATAATTTTAACTTTGAATTTAGAAGCAGATGTAAAAACATGAGAATATACTAATGTAGTGTACTAGCAAGAAAAGTAGAGTTTCTTGACTTTAATTTTTGTAACTTAACAGATTTTCTTGTGTGTCTCAAAATTTTAAGCCATTAGAATAATTCTGACTTCAAATGCGAGATCCGAGTGTAAAAATATATGGAAATACTGTAATGTAGTGTCATAGCAAAAAATTGCCATTTCTTTATTTTAAATCGCTTTTTTTATCAGTTCTTTGAGCTTATCTCAAAATTTTGAACAAATCTGTCAATTCTGACTGCGAATACGGATTCAGCGGAAAAAAGTACATGGAAATATAGTAGTGTAGTGTCATAAAAAATTTTTTCATCTTAATTCGGTTTTTTGAGTCTTTTTTTTAATGGTTTTTTGAGTTTATCTCAAAATTTTGAGCAAATCTGTCAATTTTGACTTCGAATTCGGATTCAGCATGAAAAAATACATAGGAATATACTTTTGCAGTGTCACAGAAAAATTTTTCATTTTCGTCATTTTAATTCGGTTTTTTGAGTCGTTTTTTGAGTTTAGCTCAAAATTTTGAGCACATCTGTCAATTCTGACTTCGAATCCGGATTCAGCGGGAAAAAATACATGGAAATATGCTATTGTCATGTCACAAAAAAAATTTTTAATTTTTTTGGTTCAAATTCGTGTTTTGAGTCGTTTTTTGAGTATAACTCAAAAAAAGAACCAATTTGAGCATTCGGACTTCAGATGCGGATTCAGCGGCCAAAAATACATGGGAATATACTACTGTAGTGTCTCGGCCACGACACTTTTTTTTTGTGTGCCTGTGTAATTAACAGTGGTTATACTGCACGATGATACCCTACGAACCTCACAATTTCTCGTCAAACTAGTAATCGAATCGGTCAACTCTCGTCGAGCCAAATCTACAAGAATATTATTATTGGCTAACAGATCTGCCCCGATGATTGGGTAAGGTACTGCAGCCAAACAAAAATTCCAATTAATGTCTCTCCTCAATCCAATGTCCAACGACAAACGTTTTTCTCCAAAAGTTGGAATTTTAGAATTATTTGCCGCATAAAGAAAAATCTCAGTTGGTCTGAGTTTCGAATTTGACTGTATCGGAAGAAGGGACACGTCAGACCCGGTATCGATCAAAAAAAGAAGACCTGATTTTCGATCTCTGATGTGGAGACGCTTAGAGTTTACGCCGAAAGCGATAGTCTCCGAACGGGGAGGCGTTTTCAGTTTTCCGACTGTCGATTGTTGTTATGATTATTATTATTCGAAACTGTTGAATACGAACAAGGTTTTTTACATTTGGTGGCTTTATCACCAAATTTATGGTGATACCAACAATTTGATTTATTACTTTCAGAACACGAGCGATTTCTATTATTTTTCTGATCATTCCGAGATCGAGAACGAGAATGACTGTTTTCTTTAGAAAATTTAGTACTTAACGCGCTAACTTGAGCAACTAATTTACTAATTTGATTCTCGATTACTGATAATGGATTTAGACTTGAATTAACAGATGACGTACCGACCGCGGAACACGAATTAGGAATATTCATTGTTTCATGGACTTTATCAGCTAAATCTTCTAAGTCTTGAAGACCTTATACACGAGAGGCGGCTAAAATCGCGCGAGTTGAAGATGGTAATTGATCGAGAAACACCGATTTAATAATTGCTTCGCTACAATGCGCGTCGCCTAAACCTCGTAAACGTGTTAAGATCAACGTTGGCTTTCCGTCGGTTGGAATATCTTCCTTAAGAAGCTGTCTGAGCTTAGTTTCCGTAGATACAGAATAATTAGCGATTATCGGATTTTTAATCTGAGTATAAATATTCCCGGGTGTTGGTCGAATTGATAAAATATCACGAGCGCAAATTAAAATCTCAGGATCTAGTTCCGCAATCACGTGATTAGCTTTTGTTGTTTCCGCTGTAATACGACCGTTAAGAAAAACCGATTCTATTTGTAAAAACCAAAATGTAGGATCGTTCGAAATAAACCGAGGCAACTTATGATGTCGATAGTCGTTAACGCGAGGCACCTCCCGCAAATTCGCAATATTTTCGGTAACTCGATTCAATTGTTGTTGTAATTCAGTTAAGCGTTCATCGACGAGCTGCGATCTGGTCGCGTTCTCATCCTCCTCACCCATGATGTTAAGAAAAAAAAAAAATTGACACCAATTAAACACGATAAAAATACGCGAGGTACCCGTCGCTCACCATAAACGAAAAAAAAGAAAAATATATAAAATATTCTCAATAAAATCGCGAGGAAATAATAAAAAGAGAAATAATTTTTAAATTAATTTGAAAAATAAAATTCGATATCAAATTCGATGAAGTCCCCTCGATAAATAGTAAATCAGTCGAACAACAAATGTTCAAAAACAATCAACACTTTAACTCAATCAAGGAAATTCGAAATTTAACCTTGAATCATACTTTGTCATATCACAATAAATATATATTATATGAATTTAAAATTATATGTGATTAAATCAAAGAAAGAAAAATCTTTTCTTTTTTTTTTTTTGAAAATAAAATTAAATAAAATTATTTGTCAAAAATGAATAAAAAGAGAAGAGACAAATCACGATAAAAAATATGTGATTACACACAAACTCACAACAAAAATACCATACGCTACGAGTCTTTTTTCGGCGACGAATTCGCTGGTGATGCTGGTTGTGAACTGGTAGACGACGACGTCCATAATCGTCCTCCTTGTCGATTAATCAAACAATTTGAGGTTCCACCTCAAAGGAAAGCGCTGAACGGCAAATGACCCTCGAATATATTGACAGGAAGGCAATGCGCAGCACCAAATTATCTCCTCCGTGCGATTAATCTCATGAAAAAGATTTATTCATAAGGCGCGGAAAGGTGTTTCGCAAAGGAAACAGTAAATAAAAAGAAAAGCACACTGAGAAAAAAGAGGGCGCGTTGCAGCACATTTTCGATTCATTTTGCGCGACTCAACCCTGTGTTCTGCTAGACACTTTTCTGGGGCGTGCAGCGGACCCCTGAGTCGAGGCGAGCTGTATTTGAAGCGTATTACACGCTCTTTGGGGCGTGCTGCACGCCCCAGAAAGTGTGTAGAAGAATTCAGGGTTGAGTCGCGCAACATGAATCGAAAATGTGCTGTAACGCGCCCTCTTTTTTCTCAGTGCAGGTATTAAAATTTACATACCTCTTGCATGGGCTCAATTTTTGTGCCCATGCTTCCTTTTAAAAGCGTTTTATATTTTAACTCCTCACCACAGCGCACCAGGAATCAATCGTCAGTGTAGTGTTGAAGTTGGCGAAAAATTAAGTTGTATTGTGAAGTCGGGAAACGAAGCCACTATTCATCAAAGGCGGTGAAAAAGTCGGCTGCAATAGTCTGTTGCTCAGCATTGATAAAATTCAAAATGGCAGCGGCGTCCTCCAAAAACGTGGTGCGAAAAAAAACTTTCCGAAGTTGACAGAAAATATGTCGCAAATTCGAAAATTTAAATGTTCGCAGATAGAATAAATTCTCCTCTTTGGAAATCGATGAAATGCAATTTCGATGCCATTAACCAATTTTTAATATTCATGGATGTAAATTGTATATACTCCATGCGTGTTCGCAATCACACAAAAATGTATGTTTCGCGTTGGGAAGTCACCAGTGTGGGGATTGGGTAATTATTATAATAAATTTATGGGATCAGACCCCAAGATCCCAATAATCACAAGTTTCTATAAATTTCAATTATATTTATTTACTTAACATGTCTGCTGACTGAACATTGACTTAACACGTCGTTCCCGAATCAAGACTCACAAAAGAATGTCACTCATACATCTCACATACCAAGAGGAAGCCAAAAGTTAAAGGCTATTCTCACACAACGTGTGTAACACCTTAAGCCTAACCTACAATTTTAACAGCTGAGCATTTACGCTCCTGTGACGTAGGGTAACTGCACCAATTGCCGAGGGTGCTCCAATTGTCGAGGATAATAATTTTCTTTTTTAGATAAATAGTATAATATATAATATTTAAGAACAAAAAAAATTTCTAAATAATCTTTGTATTTTCAACTGTATATTTATATATACAAATTTCGTAGCGATTCTACTAAAATATTAAAATAACATTATAATTCACTGTTGTGAAATTTACACGAATCTCCATTTTCTTAATACTTTAGGTTGATTAAAACAGATTTTTAGAAATGCAAATTAAACGTATTTATAATGACTTTTTGTGTACAAAATTATTATTATAATTTTGTACACGAACTAAATTAATTTTGTATGCATGTTTTTTTGTTAAAAAAAAATATTTAATATTTTTTAAAAGCAAATCATCGGTATTTGGTTCCTTTTTTTTGACAGTTCCATTTCTCGAGGTAATGACTCGAAAATTGGTGTAGTCACTTTTTTCGCTGATGCACCATTTATCGATGGTTAAGTGTTTATTTACTAAACGTCAAACATAAATGCCAAACATTTATAGGTACAGAGTAAAAGAAAAAAAATGCTCCAAAAATTTACAACCAACAGAAAATAATCAACCAAAAAAACGAGGAAGACCGAAAAAAAATTAATAAAAAAATGCATTATTTAAAACTAAAAAATTTTGTACTATACTTTAATTATAATTAACCATTATATTTACAGTTCGTAATAAAAGTTTATTTTATTCGTTTACAAATTTAATGTGACTTAAATTAATTTATTTTTTCAATTAATGTCTGATTAACAAAATTGATTAAATTTAATTAACTTATATTTATAAAAGTTTAAAAAACAGTTAAATAATTTTCTGTCCTGTATCATCTACTATAAAAATGTTTTATATCGATATTATAAATTATTCAATTATAGTTAAATAAATATATTTGTTTTCTGGTAATGTTCTATAATATTTTTATCGAAAAAATAAATATCTACTCGATTTTCTAATATCTGTACAGGTTAATTGTTAGGTTATATTGGGTTATATGTTTAAAAATGTCATACCCTCGACAATTGGAACAGACCCTCGAGAAATTAGCACAAGACCATCGACAAATGGTGCTTTTGCTCGATTGACTTTTAAATATATTTTTTGCTTAACAATTTAGTTTATATTAAAAAAATAAATATTAATATTAAACATTATTAGATCCTTCGTCCAAATATACAAAAATCAAATTTTAAAGTGCATTTACTTCCGAGAAAAAAAATGTCAAAGTCACATGTTGCCTAAAACCCTCGACAATTGGTACAGTTACCCTATGTGTATGATGCGCTCCTCTTTCGATAGAGGCAGCACTAAAATTCGCGGTTTAATTCAAATTATACTTTAATATAATAATATAATGAATACATTTAATTTATTGAGAATTCTACGTATAATTTAGAATATTGGCAAGCAACATGGGCAAATCGACAAAATACTTTCCCACAGTAAAATCTTAAGTGGAAAAAATCATAAACTCAAATACAATAGAGCATGCAGTGGAGGCGACGAAACTTAATCCTTCTCGTAATAAATATTTTAGGATTATTTGAGTATAACACTAAAAATAAGTACATGTTTTACTTATTTGTCACGTTTTTGAAATTCACATTTATGGTTTTATTACTTCTTAAAGAAACTCGAGTAAATCGCTCATCTGGTTACCATAAAACCCCAAGACCCTTTTTTTTGCCTGAGAAATAAAAAGGGGAAGCTTTTGTTTCGTCATCCCTACTGCATGGACTTGTTAGCAAAAAATCAGAGACACCTACTTTTCCGCCTTTTTGGGTTTTTCCTCTTTTTAACCAACTAGAGCGAAGGAGGCGTACTTCTGCCTTCCTTCCTGGCACTCGGGGATGGGGGCGGAGGCCCCCAGGATGGGTCTAGGAGGAAAACGAGAAGTCAGAAACTGTTCTACTTCCGAAGTATTAACTCGTGTTCAAAAAGTAAAATAAACTTAATGTAGAACGAACTTCGAAGTTTTTAATTTAATCGAAAATTGCCTATCATAATCCTACAATTATAATTCAATAAATTAACAGTTTACTTCACCGCGAGAGTTGAGCTTCTAAGCTCTTTGTTGCGGAAACGAGCCATCACCGTCGAGGATTCCGCTTTGAAAATAAATTCAGAATCTAAACTCAAGAACAATATTAACATTCTTATAAAGGTTTGAATTTTAAGAGTTTTGCCGCGTGAATCTGACTCGGCGCGTTACACTCCCTGCATGCTTCTGCCCTCTAATGGCAAATGGCTGTAACAAACGTCTTGCCGCCTGTCATTACATTACTTTTGTTGCTTTTGTATTTCCCATTTTGCAACCGCGTTTCTGCATAGATTAAAAAAATATTTTTGATTTAGGTAATTAAGAAGATTTGTGTCAACGGTTCGGATTCAGATTTTGCAAAAAGTGCTAGTGTGCAGAGAAAATCTCGTTCGAAAATGATTGTTTACCAATGTCACGTTATTTAAACCAGGCAGTACCGTTTTTGTAGGACGACAAGTGTAGGTCGCACACATAACCTACAAATTTCAGAGACCATCGAACGCTTTTAAATAAAAAATTACATATTTTGGTACGTAAATTGGTCACTAATTTTTCCTTTTTCGCTACGTAAAGTACGTAATTTTCAATGTCAAAGGCAGGTCGAGGCCTGAATAAACAAATAGTTTTAAATAAAAAGTTTTAGGCAGTGAAAAAAGTGTCAACAATTATATCAATAGTCACGTGATTCCGAGGCCAATGATATTAATAATATTTATTATAATTAAATTCTTCGCAATTATTTACAGCAAGCTTACCGCAATATTTCTGCAAGCATAACGTATGACTTATCATTTTCTTTTAAAATGTTTCAGGAAACTTTGGCTTCAACATAAAGGAAGTCCGAGTTCTTCAATCGAAAAAGCCGAATTTCGCAACGAAAAAGAAATCGCCGAATATACAATGACAGGTTTTTCGATTAAGAAGTAATTTTTTTGTATCTTCTATTACCGAAGGGGACTTTTTATTTTGTATACCTAATTTTCGCGAAATAATAATATTTATTTTAAAGTATTGTCCTCATTTTAGATTTTTTTAAATCATAGTTATAAGTTTAGATATAATTTCCTTATTTAATTTATTAATTTATTTTATATAATTTATAATTAATAGTTATTTATTAACTCTCATTAATTTTATTATAAACCTCTGCTGTTTTAAATTGCCTTTGATGTCAAAAATTAATCAATTATTATTTATCAATTAATTTATTTATATTTTTTTAAACATTTTTCGTAACTAAAGAATATAAAGTGTATAAAAATAAAGAATAATTTATTAAATATGTGACGCTCCGCGGTGAAGGAAGGAATACCTTGCGCGGGAAAATTTGTAGGTTATGATTGTTAATTTAAAAAAGAAAATGCATAACGAAAATTAATTCTCAGTGCAAACTAATAATATTTAAATATCTATTACATTAAAAATATTCCATAAGAATTACTTTTTTCACAAATTATCAAAAATTCTTATCAATTCATGTAAAAGAATTATAAACATAACCTAGAATTTTTTTAACTCGTGTAAGATACCTTTCACCATGGAGCGTCACTTATAAAAATCTACTGTTAAAAACTGATTAATGTGTGTATTTTTTAAAACTGTTATTTATTTATAATTTCTAATTAGTAATTCTTTTATTATTTAAATTAAATTTTATTTCTTTTTAATTTTTTTAAAATTTATTATATTTATATGTTAAGTTTCTACAAATATAGATATTTTTAAAAAAATGAAGTCATTTAAAAATTGTATACTCGGCGATGTAAACAAGAACAACATATTAATTTTAAGATATAAAAATAAATATTTAATATATGACTTTATTATTCAATGAAATAAATATTATAATTTACTGCGGTTTGTAAAATTGTAACTCTTCGAAAATTAATAATTCTTGTATTAACACTGCGCAAAATTTAAACCCAATATTTTACTAAATTTTAAGACAAATTTTTATTTTATTTAAATATTTTAAATAAATTATACATATATATTGATTCAGGTTAATTTTCTCTGGGTGTTATTATTATTACCTGTTATAATAATAATAATTATTATTATTACCTGTTATAATAATAATAATTATTATTATTACCTGTTATAATAATAATAATTATTATTATTATTTATTCATTTTATTATTACTATTTTTAATTGTATTTATAATTTATAATTTTATTTCAACAATTTTTTCAGAATTTACAAATAGAAGTAAATTTGTTTACTGTATTTTAATTATTTGATATAAATTATTATAAATTTATAATAAATATTACAATTTTTATATAAAAAAAATCGTAAAAATCATTTCATTTTATTAATTTTCTTTTTTTTGAAGATTCACGAATCCAAGTGACACAAAAAGAAATGTTTGAGTTAATACAAAACAGCTTGATTTTTTACCACCTCTACTGATTCATGAAACTCGCGTTTGTTTGACACAGCCTCAAGAGCTCAGTACGATTCTCTCTCTCTTCGGCTGATAGCGGGTTTTCTATATACCTTACGTCTACTTTTTAAATAACGCGGGATCAAAGATTTTTTCCCGAGACTTATTTCGTTGTGACAAAAAAATAAAATAAACTTCTAAACAAAAAAAATTTACACTGAAAAAGAAAAATTCTCATCACGCTAAATTGTGTATAGAAATTTTTAAAATATTCACATAATTTTAAATTGCATTAAATTTAATTATAAATTAAAAATTAAAAATACTTTTCTTAAATAATTACAATAAAAATAATAATAAAATAACATCAATAGTGAGAAGAATCAAAAAACTTGATAACTATATAAAATAATTCATTTAATAATAACCTAAAAACAAATTTACATCTATAAAGAAGAAAAAAGTGTAAAATTGTGCTGAATTGAAAAAATATGCAAACTTATTGGTGAAATAATTTCTGTTTTTAAAAAAATACTTCAAAAAAATGGAAGAATCGTAGAAAAAGAAGGAGAAGAAGAAATGTGGATTTAATAATTGCAGAAAGAAAATTTCAGGATGAAATGTTTCAAGATTTTTTTTAAGCACACTTGGCATCCACAGCAGGTGATTTTTTTCGCAAAAAAATTATTTTAACAAATTATAATTAAATGCAAAAAAAAAAATCTATTTGAAAATATTTTCAAAATAAAAAAAGAGAGTGGAAGATTGATTCTCGTTATCCTTGACTTGAATTTCCTGGTTCTGTTTATTTGTTAATCAGAAAATTATTTTTTTCCTTTCACTCGAGAATGCGCTTGCATTTTATGAATTTTTCCCTAAATAATGAGAGGCAAACTGAAGAAATGAAAAATAAATAAAACAAAAGAAATCTAACAATAATAATTAAAATAATAATAATTATAAAAATAATAATACTAATAAAAATAAAAATATTAACGCTAACAGAAATAAAAATAATAATAATAATAGTTCACAATAAAAATAGTTGTAGATAAAAAGAATTTTCATATAGAAATTTATAGAAGATTTTTTTTTTCATCTTTGTATTATTTATATCGCATTCAGTGCATTGATGTAGGATTGATATTATAAAAAAAATATTCTGTAAAACTATTAAAAATCCATTAAATAAAAACACACGAACTGTCATTAAAATTACGTCACATTGATGGTATTCGACATTTTCCCAGTAATGAAACTTGATATCATCGAGAAGCTTTCTGCTGAATTGTAATGATTATTGCTTAACATCTATTGAATCTTGACAATAAAATTAATTTTAAATCCACTCTTTTTCATTTTTCGAATTTTCAAATATTTTTAATCATTTCGTTAAATTAAATCAGTATTTATATTTATGTAGATAATTAATAAATAATTAATTTAACTATAATGATAATACTTAAAATTAAAATAATTATAATATATTTAATAAAAATAATAATTATTGATTATTATTTTCATTGAAATAAATAATAATAATTATTATAATAATTTATTAAAATATACATTTATTTATTGTTATTTATTTATATTTATTTATATTTTTCTTGTTTAGAAACATATAAACGAAAATTATTAAAATTCTCTTTGTCAAAGACATTAAAAAATTTATAATCAGTTATTGTAAACAATTTTGGAATTAGAAATAATAAAATAATTGCCGACCTAGAACTCATGCGACTATTGGTAATTTTTTTCACTACATACAACTATTTAACTACTATTTTTTATAAATAATTTACTAACGACACTTATTTCGTTAAAATAAGCCACTAATTAATTTCTTACATCGAGATTTTAAATATCAGTTTATTTAGCGAAGACATTAATTCTAAGACCCTAAAAAATTGGAGAGGATAATAATAGGGGGCAGTTCCATACGAAAAGCAAATGGTGGATCACCGATTTTTCTTAAAGTTCGTAATTTTGTATTACTTGGGGTACTAAGTAACTGTGCCAAACAGTTTTGCAAAAAAAAATTTTTTTTGCAAGATATTTAGATATAAAAAATCGGAAACTGAAAAAAATGACTTTTTTTGAGAATTTTTATTTCGAAAACTATTGATTCTACAAGAAAAAGTAATTTATTCAAAATTGTAGAGAAAATGTCAATTATTTATAATATTAAACAAAAATTTAAGAAAAATTAATTTTTCAATAATTTGTTTAAACAATAATTTTTTATTGTTAAAAAAAAAGTGAAGGACATCATGGAATATTCTAGAAAAATTATTTTCTCAAAATTTGAACCTTCCTTAATAAGTGGTTAAATTTTTAAAGAAGTGATATTTGATGTTTTTGAGACAAAAATTTTTGAAGTTTGCGCTACGAGTTTTTGTGCGTTGCGCTAACTAAGCAGCGCCTATATCAGTGTATTTTAAAAGATGATATGACCTTTACTGCTCGCCCCTAATACATTTATTAATTATATACGTATATATTATTATTATAAACAGTTTAACAATATATTTTTAACTTTTTTATAAACATTATTTTCCTTTTTTAATCCATTAATGCCCATGGGCACACGGAGAAACTTTTAATACCACTAATTCTTAAAACTGGTGAGACATTTTAGTATGTTAGGTTAGATTCAAGGGAAAAACGACATAGGTTATAGAAATTGCTATTGAGACTATCAAAAACACTCATTCAGTATATATTTTACAGTTTTTCATAAGGAAACTAACGAAAATTAGTATGTTGTTTTAGAAAGAAAATAATAATTTTTGCAAAGTTGGGAAAGCCATGAATTAAAAAGAAACACAACAAATTAATTGTCTATAGATACTCATAGAGACGATAGTGATACTTGGATCTGATGGTAGATGGCATTAGTGTATGTCACTGTAACTGTAGGTAAATATATTTAACACGACGTAAGAACCTAACCTATATTATTAACGCACACACGCACACGCAAGTAAAGACACGACGATTGGTCACGGAAACCGAAAGATCGCACAATTCGTTAGAAGTACACAGCTGAATCGTCCTTATATATTAAACGAGTGGAAAAATATGTGCCTTCGAGAGAGAGCATTTTTTAAAATAACTTACTAATCAAATTATGTAAATAAGTAAAAGTCGTGAAAAAAATTATGTTATATTGAGGAACAGTTCTTGAATTTAATTTGGCATGAGGAGACATTCACGTTTATTAATAAAAGGTTTTTTTCTTTCATACACGTGTGAATTTCAACTTCGAAAACATTAGGGTTAGTTCGCGACGTCAGGTGATGGACTCGGTGATGCTCGGGCGAAATCGGTTAAGTCCGCCCGCAGTCCTTCCAAAATTGGTATGTTACGTTAGAATGTCTGTTATATATTCTATCTATATGTGGAAAAAAGGTTAGAATTACCGTATTATTTCACAAACAAAAACTAGCATTTTATTTTTTTCTAAAGAAAAATAAGACTATTTCTAATGCAGATAGTAATTTTTGTACACCGAAGGTTGCTTAATATATAACGAACTTATCATATTTTCGTATTAATGTTGAAATTATTATCACAACGCACGAAAAATCCTCACATTCTAACGTACTTTTAGAATAAAGATAACCAAATATATTTAATATTAGAAGAAAAAGTTTCTCCGTGCACATAGGAACGCAGATATAAAAAGTAACTATTGAGATCCTGCCATAGGGTCTAATGATAATTTTTGACGTTAAAAATTAAAAAAAAAATTTTTTAACAATTTGTTATAAACAAATAAAAAAAATTGATTTTCATAAAAAACTGATAGCGCCATTCGATTCGACGCAAAAACTACTACGAGAACGTATATTACATTAATTTTTAAAAAAAGACATATTGTTGTAAAAATGTTATAAACAATTAGCCTGTATTTATACTGTATAAAATAGAAGGATCGTTTTTGAAGTTTAAACAAATTATTGAAAAATTAATTTTTCTCAAATTTTTTTAATATTATAAAAAATTGACATTTTCTCTACAATTTTGAATAAATGACTTTTTCTTGTAGAATCAAGTTTTCGAAATAAAAATTCTCAAAAAAAGTCATTTTTTTCAGTTTCCGATTTTTCATATCTAAATATCTTGCAAAAAATTTTTTTTTGCAAAACTGTTTGGCACAGTTATTTAGTACCCCAAGTACTACAAAATTGCGAACTTTAAGAAAAATCGGTGATCCACCATTTGCTTTTCGTATGGAACTGCCCTTTATTGAAAAGGAAAGTAAATTAAAAATTGAAATCCGTTTACCCAAGTAGCACGCTGTATTACCTGAATGTCATGGCGATATCTATCGGGGATATTCCTGTGATACTGAGGAAGTATCATAATGTCAGCCTTTTTGAATATCCCTGTGATATTCCTGCGATATTGCCGTAACATCGAGGAGATACTGCTGCGACATTAAGGCGGGATATTGCTGTGATATTAAGGGAATATTGCTGCGATATTCACACTAAAAAAGTTTTACTTTCAGCCTATTTTTGAGG